AAAAAAAAAAAAAAAAAAGAGAAAGAAAATAAAAGAAAAAACCATAAAGGACAAATTGTATTGGTTAAATACATTTAACCAAAGTACCAAAGGAGAGAAAAAGAACATGGGGCAAATGCAGTATCTGAGGACATAATGGCTGAGAATTCAACAAGTCCAACAAAACCCACACCAGATAAATGAAATTCATACTTAGATGCATTGTAGTTAGCTGTCGAAAATCAAGACAAAAATGAAATCTTAGAAGATCAGTGAGGAGCAATAATGATGGATGGTGGGATAGAATATAACAGAATTATTGTGAAGGGCCTCTACCTGAATTCATGAACTCCCATATTTATGTAATTCTCTATATTCTACTTTATTACAAAAAGAATTTAAGGCAGTTTGTCACAATTCATATAATGAAATCCAATAAATAAATTAAAAATGACACAAGTAAGGCAAAGAGAAGCAGAAAAGGAAAATAAGCTAGATCCAGTTATAAGATTCATTCCTAAAATGTATGCTATAAATTCCTGTTTGCTTACTAGCAGGGAATCACAAATTCAGCTTTAAGCATGAAAAATAAAATAGTCAACTACTAGATTTTCAGTTAAAAAAACCAACTTTGTTCAGGAAAAGTTATTTCTAAAGGAGACAATTAGTAATTATAATAAACATCTGCAACATCCTCTCATCACAATATACATATTTTACAGGACCAAAATATAATTCAGCAAAAATAACTTTACAGGGAAAACCAAAGAATACCAATCTGATGCATTCCAGAGGTGTGGTTCAATACAGGACAAAGATTTAAAAATCTTTTAATACATAAGTGTTTGTCTCAGTCAAGCTGTGAGCAATACCTTTAAGCATCTTTTCCTGACAAGTCCCTAAATGCAGTTATTCTGTGTGAGTGGACAGGCACAGAGCCATATGCGGAATTATCAGCTAATACAGGGTGGGATTACAGGCTCTTATGAAAACGGAGCCAGACATCATTCCTTCTCAACTTACAGGAGTGAGGTCCAGGATATTCTTTAACCAGTCTTGTTATTCTACAAAGGACATGAATAGCACTAAATTCTGGAAGTGGTATTAATTGAGAACAAATAAGGTTTGGCTGAGAATTATAGTAAAAGTAAAATCAAAAGACTTGGTATGGGGCGGCGCCTGTCACTCAGTGGGTAGGGCACTGGCCCCATATACGGAGGGTGGAAGGTTCAAACCTGGCTCTGGCCAAACTGCAACAAAAAAATAGCTGGGCATTGTGGTGGGTGCCTGTAGTGTCAGCTACTCGGGAGGCTGAGGCAAGAGAATCACCTAAGCCCAGGAGTTGGAGGTTGCTGTGAGCTGTGACGCCACAGCACTCTACCGAAGGGGATAAAATGAGACTCTGTCTCTACCAAAAAAAAAAAAAAAGACTTGGTACAAATTATTACATTGGCAGAAAAGAGTCAAAGATGTTTTACATTCCTGAATGAGGCCGAAGAGAAGTACCATAACAAAAAAAAAACAGGGTGGACAAATTTTGAAGGAAATTGAACATTTTTGTTTTAGACAAAATGTTTGAAGATCTGAGTGGAAATGTGTGTAAGGAAATGCAGGACGAAAGCTCAGGAAAGAAGTTAAGGATAGAGCAATAAATGTAGGGGGGATAGACAGATAATAATTGAGTAGTTCTAATTTCTGAACTACCAAAATCCCTTTTCCTCAAATCACTGCCCCAAGGTTTTAACAAAAGAAGTAGATCCCACAAGATAGAACACCAGAAAGAAGTACACAGCAATACAAAAAACAAACAAACAAAAAAAACCAGGCTGTATTTCTAAGTGATTCAATACAGAGAGAACATAAATAGCTAGAGTCTGACTCGGGAAGATAAATGTACAGATCTATATCTCAGCACTAATTAGAACAGAATTAGACTATCTGGCTTATGAACAGAAAATGATATATAACTTGTTTACAAAGTACAGTAATCGCCCCGTTATCTGGCACCCATGGGGATTGGTAGATTCCAGACAAATGTAGTTTCTGATTGCTTGAGAGTTATAATTAAAAATAGGCCTAATTCTACACTTTATACTATATCATGCCATACCATAAACTGGGTATTGACTTGATATTAATATTGAAATACACTAATTAAAAGTAAATCAAAACAAATAAAGATACACTTCAATAACTTTAACACAGTTTTCCCTCACTGTGAAACAGCTTTGTAAATGCAGTACACAATTTGAATTAAATGAATGTCAATACACTTTTTAACTTCATTACCATATTTTTCGAGACACTTCTGAGTTTCACTTTGTCACCCTCAGTAGAGTGCTGTAGCATCATAGCTCACAGCAACCTCAAACTCTTGCGCTCTAGCAATTCTCTTGGCTTAGCCTCCCAAGTAGCTGGAACTACAGGTGTTCGCCACAACACCTAGTTATTTTTTAGAGATGAGGCCTCACTCAAGCTCAGGCTGGTCTCGAACCTGTGAGCTCAGGCAATCCATCTGACTCAGCCTTCCAGACTGCTAGGATTACAGGCATGAGCCACTGTGCCTGGCCCACTGCCATATGCTTTTAACTTGAAGTAACACACATTAACCCTTAAAACGGTACAGAGAACACATGGAAGTCACAGGAGTAATACAGGAAGCAAAGGCTTACAAGGCACAGTGCACCAAGTTTAAACTTTGATTTTGGAGGGAGGGACTAGGTTACATGCTGGTTGCTTAAGAGTGCTGACTGCTTGATTTCTAGATATCAGAGTTTACTATAAACGGTACCTACTCTCCATTTTATATTTAAGAATACACAGTACATTCTATTTATAGGATGAAGATTTCCTAACAATTAATAAGTTCGGCATGTGGGGATTAATTAGGTATGTTTGAAATTTTCCAATATAATTACTATTTTAATTTTTCTAAAATTTCTTAAGAATTAATAAGATTTATCAGGAATAAAGACACCTTTGCCAAACTCATGTGACAGAAGAGGCAGGAAGGGCATGGCCATTTCTGTCTTGAAAGAAAAATATAATTAAGTCTACCCCAAAGGTTTCCCAACCACAGAAGAAAAGGAAAGAGTTCAAGATGCAGTCCTCAGATATGCAACTGGATATGAGTTAAATATAAGGGCCATGGCAGCTTAAAAATAAACTGACAATGGCTGGGCACAGTGGCTCATGCCTGTAATCCTAACACTCTGGGAGGCTGTGGCAGCTGGATTGCCTGAGCTCAGGGTTTGAGACCAGCTTGATCCAGCGCAAGACCCCATCTCTAAAAATAACTGGGTATTGTGGTGGGCATCTGTTGTCCCAACTACTTGGGGAGGTTAGGGCAAGAGAATCACTTGAGCCCAAGAGTTTGAGGTTGTTGTGAGCAATGACACCCCAGAACTCTACAAAGGGAGACAAAGTGAGACTCTGTCTCAAAAAAATAAAATACAGGCTTGGCGCCTATAGCACAGTAGTTACGACGCCAGCCATATACACCCTGGTTGGTGAGTTCGAATCCAGCCTGGGCCAGCTAAACAATAAGAACTACAACAAAAAATAATGGGCATTGCAGTGGGTACCTGTAGTCCCAGCTACTTGCGAGGCAGAGGCAAGAGAATTGCTTAAGCCCAAGAGTTTGAGGTTGCTGTGAGCTGTGACGCCACAGCACTCTATTGAGGACAACAAAGTGAGACTCTGTCTCAAAAAAATATAAAATGAGGCGGTGCCTGTGGCTCAACTGGCTAAGGCACCAGCCACATACACCTAAGGTGGCGGGTTTGAATCCAGCCCTGGCCCACCAAACAACAATGACGGCTGCAACCAAAAAATAGCCGGGTGTTGTGGCGGGCACCTGTGGTCCCACCTACTTGGGAGGCTGAGGCAGGAGACTCTCTTGAGCCCAGGAGTTGGAGGTTGCTGTGAGCTGTGATGCCATGGCACTCTACCTAGTGGGATAGCTTGAGGCTCTATCTCAAAAAAATATATATATATATAAAATAAAAATAAAATAAAATAAACTGACAAGAAAAGAAAAGTAAGACATGAACTTACTCTTTTCAATGAGCTGGTCCTGAACTCCTGCCAACGCACTTACTGCCTTAAAAAAAAAAATGCACCAGTTACTAGAAAAGTGACCACAGACCTCAGGAGAGCACTCCCAAAGAAATGGAAAGAGAGAACTCACATTCCCCAACAACAGGCCACAGAAAGATCCCTCCTTCCCAAACCACCACTTACAGCTGCTGATGTAACTGAAGATTTACTGAAGAGCCGTTCAGCTTCCTTAAATTTCCGGTTCCTTCGATCATTTTTGCTATTGGAGTTTCTAAAACACACAGAAGAAACTCACTGTAAGTACCAAGCTATGTCTATAGCTAAAGCTGGGGATGCCCCTGGACTTAGGTAATGAAAAGATTTTTTTTTAAAACCAAGTTCTATGCAGGAAGCCCCCACATCACTTGGCTTTGCCAAACGACCTTCACGCTGAATGCCTACATAAAAATCAATATTTTCTATTGTATGGTATATAGGATATGAGATTTGGTTGCTTCACAAACATTTTCACTTTGATATATATTTTTAAATGCTTATTATTAACAATGACTAGCAAAGACTAGGGATGTGAAGTCTTTTAAATAAACTTAATTTTCAAATTTAAAGAAAGAACCAGTGTTCCTTAGAGAAATGGCTAATACCAAGTTTTGGAGGGGGGGAGGATAAGGTGAGACTAGCACATCTTTTCAGCCAGAAAGCAACACAATGCTCTAGGAACTGACAGTGTCATGTCTAAAAGATAAAGGAATCAGCTTGAGGAGGTACCCTCAGACCACATTTGGGACAAACGTGGGGAATAAAAGAGAGAGAAGATTAAAAAGAAAGATTCTTCTTCAGAATGTCAGTAATAAATATAAAGGGAATAATAAAATTAGAGAATCACCATTTTGCAACTTCTAATGTAATACCTGAATCAGATAAGAATCAACAATGTGTATTAAAACAATTAAATAAAAATTAGGAGGGAACAGTATAGTCACATTTTCTAGAAGTATAACACAGCCAGTCATGGCTCACATCTATAATCTTAGCATTTTGGGAGGCTGAGGCAGGAGGATGGCCAGGAATTTAAGATCAGTCTGACCAACAGAGCAAGACCTCATCTCTATAAAAAACAGAAAAACTTGCTTGGGGCCCAAAGCACAGTGGTTATGGCACTGGCCACATGCACCTACAGTGGCGGGTTTGAGCCCAGCCTGGGCCAGCTAAACAATAATGACAACCTCAACAAAAAAATAGCCAGGTGTCATGAGGGGGGCCTGTAGTCTCAGCTACTTGGGAGGCTGAGGCAAGAGAATCACTTAAGTCCAGGAGTTTGAAGTTGCTGTGAGCTGTGACACCACAGCACTCTACTGAGGGTGACATAGTGAGACTCTGTCTCAAAAAAAAAAAGCCAATCATGGTAGAACTGGTAGTCCCAACTACTTGGGAGCACAAGGCAAAAGGATCACTTAAGCCTAGGAGCTTAAGGCTACAGTGAACTATAATCTTGCCACTGTACTGTAGCCCAGCCAAAAGAGTAAGACTCTATCTCAAAAAAATTTAAAAAATGGGTGCTGTGGCTCATGCCTATAATCCCAGCAGTTGGGAGATCGAGAGGGGTGGATTGCTTGAGCTCACAGGTTCGAGACCAGCCTGACTCAGAGTGAAACCACATCTGTAAAAAATAGCCGGGCATTGTGGCAGGTACCTGTAGTTCCAGCTACTTGGGAGGCTGAGGCAAAAGGATCTCTTGAACCCAAGAGTTAGAGGTAGCTGTGAGCTAAGATACTACAGCACTCTACCAAGGGTGATAAAGTGAGACTCTGTCTCAAAAAAAAAAAAAAAGAAAGAAAAAGAAAAAAAAGAAAAGAAAAGTATAACTTCCAAAATGATCTGTTAATCACAGTGGGAAAAATAAACTTTTATAGTAGAGATATCACACAAACTAGGCAGCACCAATAATGGGACAATCTGACATTATGTACCTCCTAGGAAAACAGAGGTAGATAACACAAAAGGCTCTCTCATGAGGTCACAATAAAAATCTGAAGTTGTGGCTCAGCACCAGCCACATACACCAGAGCTGACAGGTTCGAACCCAGTCCAGGCCTGCCAAACAACAATGACAACTACAACCAAAAAAATAGCCAGGCATTGTGGTGGGCACCTGTAGTCCCAGTTACTTGGGAGGCTGAGGCAAGAGAATTGCTTACGCCCAGGGGCTGGAGGTTGCTGTGAGCTGTGATGCCATAGCACTCTAGTGAGGGTGACATAGTGAGACTCTGTCTCAAAAAAAAAACAAACCTGAAGTTGTGACATTCTACAAGACAACGTTGTAAACGCCACTACAATCACCACCAAAATGGAGATTCTCTGTAAACAAAACAGTAAAATGCAAAGCATGAATGCTCAATGGATCCTAGGTAAAAACAAAGTAGCAAAGCATTTGGGGGACAATTAAGGAAATTATAATAAAGACTATGTATTAAATGATACTATTTATGTAGTGCTAATTTTCTAAGTATAATAGCTATGGTTAAGTAGAAGAAATGTCCTTATTCCGAGGAGGTAACTGCTGACATATTTAGACATAAAGTGTCTGCATCTAATTTCCAAATGCTTTAGCAGGAAAAAGAAGTACAGGGAGATGGGGGACATTAACTACAAAGCAGTGGTTCTCAACCTTCCTAATGCTGCAGCCGTTTAATACAGTCATGACCCACAGGTTGAAAACTGCTGTTATAAAGGAATAGCATGAAGATCTTTGTGATTATAGAATAGTTCCATACCTTGATTATGGTTACTTAAAATTATGGTTATAAAATCATGTAGAACTATCCACATGAGGTCTGACAATTAAATTCAAGAACTCATCCTAGAAAAGTGCTAGATACCTCATTGCTGAATATCACTATAGTCACCTTTGAAGTACTCCCCTTAGGAAGCTACTGCACTAACACCAGCACCCAGTCCACTCTTCAAAGTAATTTGCAGGCCAGGCATGGTGGCTCATACCTCAGCAGTCTGAAAGGCTGAGGCAGGTGAATTGCTTGAGCTCAAGAGTTTGAGAACAGCCTGAGCAAGAGTGAGACCCTGTATCTACTAAAAATAGAAAAAAACTAGCCAGGTGTTGTGGCGGTACCAGCTACTCAGGAGGCTGAGGCAAGAGAATCGCTGAAGCCCAAAAGTTTGAGGTTGCTATGAGCTTTGATGCCACAGCACTCTACAGAGGGTGTCAAAAAAATTTAATGTTTGTTCATTGCTCTAATTCTAGCTCCTACATCCTCACAATAGCACACAAAACCACACAACAATAATGAATACTATTCATTAAGACAATGCCACTTGTTGACATGAACACAGCTGTGAGATATTGATATAAGGTTATGAACCTTTAAAGAATTATTTGTATAGTGCTGTCAATCTAAGAGCCCAGTGGCAAGGTCATGAACTTAACTGTCAGACCTTGGATACATTGTACCAATGTCAATTTCCAGGTTTTGATACTTTATTATATTACATAAAACACAACCATCAGGGGAAACAGAGTGAAGTACTACCTGTACTATGTATTTTTTTAAATTTATTTATTTATTTATTTATTTATTTATTTATTTTAAGACAGAGTCTCAAGCTGTCAACCTGGGTAGAGTGCCATGGTGTCACAGCTCACAGTAACCTCCAAATCAGGCTCAAGTGATCCTCTTGCCTCAGTTTTTCTATTTTTAGTAGAGACAGAGTCTCACTTTTGCTCAGGCTGGTCTTGAGCTCAATTGATCCACCTACCTCAGCCTCCCAGAGTGCTAGGATTACAAGTGTGAGCCACTGTGCCTGGTTATTTCTTTTTGACACAGGGTCTAACTATGTCCCCTGAACTAGAGCACACATCATCGCTCAGTGTAACCTCAAATTCCCAGGCTCAAGTGATCCTTTCGCCCCCAGCCTCCAGAGTAACTGGGACTTCAAGTGTTCACCGCCATGCCCAGTTGATTTTCTCTTTTTTTTTTTTAGAGACAGACTTTGTTGCCCTTGGTAGAGTGCCGTAATGTCACAGCTCAAAGCAACCTCCAGCTCCTGGGCTTAGGTGATTCTCTTGCCTCAGCTTCCCAAGTAGCTGAGACTACAGGCACCTGCCACAATGCCCGGCTATTTTTTTGTTGTTGCAGTTTGGCTAGGGCTGGGCTTAAATCCACTACCCTTGGTATATGGGGCTGGTGCCTTATTCACTGAGCCACAGGAGCCACCCAATTTTTTTATCTTTCTTTCTTTCTTTCTTTTTTTTGTAGAGATGAGGGTCTCAGTATTGGCCGTGTTGGACTCAAACTCCTGAGCTCAAGCAATCCTCCTTCCTCAGCTTCCCAAAGTGTTCGGTTATAGGTAGGTGTGAGTCACCATGCCTAGCTCTGTACTATTTTTGCAACTTCCTATGAATCTATAATTACTTCAAAAATAATTAAGTACAGATACAATTGTGTTTATCTATATTGTAGAGAAAGAAAGAAAAAGTGAACATCACAACATGTTAACAATTTGTGAATACAGGTAGACAGTATCAAATGTTCATGTATTAACTACGCCTTCAATTTTTCTCCAAAAAACTGAAAACTGAAAAATCTCCAAAAGTTTAGAATTTTTTTTTTTTTTTTTAGATAGAGTCATACTATGTCGCCCTCGGAAAAGTGCTGTAACATCACAGCTCACAGCAACCTCCAACTCTTGGGCTCAAGTGATTCTCTTGCCTCAGCTTCCTGAGTAGCTGGGACCACAGGTGCCCGCTACAATGCCAGGCCATTTTTTGGTTGCAGTTGTCATTGCTATTTTTTAGCAGGCCCAGGCTGGGCTCTAACCGGCCACCTTTAATATATGTGGCCGGCGCCCTACCCACTGAGCTATGGGCGCCGAGCCCTAGAAATGTTGAAAGAATATTATTACTAAGTAAATAATGGTATAGTTGGCGCAGAAATATGGCAAAAATTGTAAAGGTGGAAGTCATGACTGATTAAAATGTGGAAAACACTAACAGAGCACCACCGTGTAATGTATCATCATATGCTGTCTGCTGTATTTCATTTTAAGCCTCACACAATTCTATGCCATAGATCAAACTTTCTCTATTTTACAGATGTGGGCTTTGCCAAGATCTTGAGTTCAAGCTCAAGTCTAGACTTCTTTCCACATCTCCCACTTTACTACTACTGCCTCCTGCAAAGGTGCTATACCAAGAGCATCCTAGTCCTGCAAAGAAATGTTACTAGGCACAAAAGGAACACTACAGGCTTACAAAACTCACTTTTGGTTGGTCAGATACCGATCCCAGCCACGAATAATATTGCCATACATCTGAGTGTCTTCCAGGTAGCTTCCTTCAAAAGCATAGATCTGTCTCTCCAAGTTTGCCAATGTTTCCTGCAAGATGACAATAACATGAATAATGCTTTTAAATGCAAACATTTAGGTTTGACCAAATTGAAATCCTGATAATAGACTTGTAAACTCCAGCTGGCCCATAGTAAAGCACCTTTGCAAAGGAGATAATTGATGATATGGGGTGGGGGCACTGGGAGGTGATGGACCCCCTTGAGAATAAAATGGAATACATAAGACGTATCCCCACAAAAATGCACACACATGCAAAACTTTTACATATACTGCAGAGAGTTCATGGAAAACCACTGTCAAGAACCCAGACTGAGGCTGGGCATGGTGGCTCACGCTTATAATCCTAGCACTCTGGGAGGCTGAGGTGGGTGAATTGTTTTAGCTCAGGAGTTGAAGACCAACTTGGGCAAGAGTGAGACACCCTCTCTACTAAAAATATAAGACTTAGCTGGGCTGCTGTGGTGGGCGTCTGTGATCTCAGCTAATTGTGAGGCTGAGGCAGGAGAATCGCCTGAACCAAGGAGTTTGAGTTTGCTGCTAGCTATGACTCCACAACACTCTAGCCTAGGGCAACAGAGTGAGACTCTGTTTCAAAAAAACAAAAACAAACAAAAAAAAGAACCCAGGCTAAGGTGGAACGTGGGGCAATCTCCACTCCCATGCACAAAAGGTACCGCCATCAGGAGAGGGAAGAGCGAGCAGCCAGTCTTTCAGCATCAACTCGCTCCCCTCCCCGCGGGCTCAGGCCGCTGGCACTGGGCTGCCAGTTGCTATGGAAACCTGGAAGGGCAGCTGCAGGTGCGATGAACCTCCCGGGCGCTCTAACCAAAACGCGGGGGCAGGGTGGGCTCTACCACCAGGATACATGTCACAGTTCTGAATTCTCTAGATTGAGTCCTCTGCTCTCGCCAGTCACCTTCTAGATGTTCCCAAACAAATCGCATCCCTACCTATCAAAAATCCAATTCAACGACTCCCAATACCAAAAATGACACGCTCCCCACCGTCCTCCGGCCGGGTGAGTGGGTCTCCCTCCCACAGTCACCGCCTTCCCCACAGCCCACGGACATGCCCGCCCCCCATCCGTCAAAGATCACGGATCACGCGCCCTCACCCACCTCCAAGGCTCACAGACACTCGCCCCTGCTCTTTCTCTCACAGCCCCGGCGCCCTGCTCCCTCCACGCCCCCTCCGGCCGCAGCCCCTGCCCCTCCCCCTCCGTCTACCGGCCCCCGGCTCCGGATTCTCACAGCCGGGAAGCCGAGCCGCCGGCCTCCCGGCCCGCCGCGCTGCGCCCCCGGAGCAACGAATGGCCTGGCGCGGCCGGACTGGGGCCCGGAAGCGGGGCAGCCTCGGGGCCCCACGCCGGCCGCCCCCAGCCGCAGCCCCTCACCGCTAGCTCCTGTTTCCGCTTCACGAGCTCCGCCAGCTCCCGCCGGGTGTCCGGGATCTGCGGTGGGGCCGCCTTGTTGTGCATCGCCATGTTGGGCTCAGGCGGGCGGCGGCGCGAAGCTGGGGGCGGTCTCTGCGCGCCGCCGCCCGCCAGAGGGCGCCTGTCCGCACTGCGCTTGCGCGCGCGGCGTCCGGAGACGCGCCCGGCGCGGGGCTCTCGGCTCCTGACCGAGGACCAGGGGAAGGGGCTGCTGCTTTCGGTAGTTAAGTCTTATCTGCCTCTTGGTTGGCAGCTGAGCTTTACAGACACCACACGTTGACTGTGTCCTAAGCCAAGCTCGTCCTTAAGCCTCCAGAATCTCCTGGATGCCCCGCTTCAGCCTACGTTGGTGAATGACTTTTCCTATCCACGCAATTGCCGGTGTCAGAAACCTGGTTATCATCCTCACTCTCCGCCCAGGATTAAAATCCGACCAGGTCCTGCGGACTAACTCCGGAAGAACTCACAAATGCATTTGCTCGTGTCCGTTCTCTCTGCCACCTCCCTAGTTTATTCAGGCCCTTCCTAATTTTGACTACATTATTCCAACAGCCTCCTATTTCCACCCTTAGTCTTATTTAATCGTTTACCCACAATGGTGCTAGGATGATCTTCCAAAAACAAATACGACATCACGTCCTGGCTTACGGCCTTTCAGTGGTTTCTCATTGCCCATTAGACAAGTATGTCTAGGGCACAAACTGGAGCCAGAACCACCTGTTCAAAATCCTACCTCTACGTTGCTAAAATGTATCACCTGGGGCAAGTAACTAAATTTCACTTGTTTCAACTCCCTCATTTGTAAACTGAAAGTAATAACACAATCTACCTAATAGATTGCTGTCAAGAGTAAATCTCGTAATGTACGTAAGGGGCTTGAAAAATGATGACTATATAAGTACATAGCTGTTATCTCTAAATCCTGTATGTAAACGTTGTTTTCACTAGGCTTCTGCTTACTTCTTCAGCCTCCAATTTTCAGTGTTCTGCAATTTCCCTATCATAAGCCTACGTGGGATTTTTTTTTCTTTTCCTTTTTTTGAGACAGAATCTCACTATGTTGCCCTTGGTAAAGTGCTGTGGCGTCACAGGTCACAGCAACCTCAAACTCTTGGGCTTAAGCGATTCTCTTGCTCAGCCTCCCGAGTAGCTGGGACTACAGGCGCCCACCACAATGCCTGGCTATTTTTGTTGCAGTTGTCATTGTTTAGCAGGCCTGGTCCGGGTTCGAACTCACCACCTCTGATGTTTGTGGCTGGCGCCCTTGCCGCTGAGCTACAGGCACCGAGCCAAGGGATGATTTTTTTTTTTTTTTGCAGTTTTTGGCCAGAGCTGAGTTTGAACCCGCCACCCCACCTCCTGCGTATTGGGCCATAGCCCTACCCTTTTGAGCCACAAGCGCCGCCCTTTTCTTTTTCTTTTGATCCACTGCCTTCACTACAGCGTGTCCCAAAAGTTGCCCCTAAAGTCACCATACATAGGGAAGATGGGAAATTGTAGCTAAATGTACATTTATTTACAAAGTATTCTTTACAAAGTATTCTTTAAAAAGTTTTACAAAGAGGGCAGCGCCTGTGGCTCAAGGGAGTAGGGCACCAGCCCCATATACCGGAGGTGATGGGTTCAAACCCAGCGGTGGCTAAAAACTGCAAAAAAAAAAAAAAAGTTTTACAAAGAGATGGCCAACACAGAGAATATTTGTAAAGTGTATGTATGGCGACTTTAGTGGTGACTGTTGGGACACCCTGAAATGAAGGCTGTGGATCAAAGAAAAAGAATCCCATGTAGGCTTAGATTACCTTTTAGGGAAAATACAGTTTAGTCATGTGAACTAATTCCAGTTTTGTCAGAAATAGAATTTGGATCCAACTGTCCCTTATAAACTAGAGTATTATTGGTGTATGATTTGGAAATGACTTAGATTTTTCTTTTTTTATTTTTATTTTTATTTTTTTTT